TATAACATAGGTACTAACAGACAGGGCGCCCCAAAACATAACAATATAGGTACTTAAAACAATTACAACGTCGGTCCGCCGTCGGTGATAGGTCCACTTGATGGATGTTGATGGATGGGCAATACAATGAACTGAATGGACAGCAACAAGCCAGCTGCGGCACGCAATGATCGGCAACAAGCCAGTGGCGGCACGCAAAGATATAAGCGGCGGCACGAAATGAACGGCACAAAGCCAGTGGCGGCACGCAATAATCGGCAACAAGCCAGTGGCGGCACGCAGATATAAGCGGCGGCACGAAAATGAACGGCGGCGAGCCAGCGGCGGTACGTACAGGTATAACGGCACAGACCACGAGGTTTAACAACGCGACGACTACATGCGGTCTGGTCGCCAAAACGATGCGTCGGGCTCGACCGCCTGGAAAAGACACACGAACTAGGAGGCGGCACAGCCTACGGTGGCGAACGGCCCGGCGCTGGACGGCCATGGAGGGGGTAAGCCACCTCGTGAGCTTCGGCATCCGAAGCGCAGCTTTGGGGACATATGCCGAAACTAGGATGGCGCGAAAACGCGTCCGTGTTCGAACACGCATCAAATTGTTTGCACAGGCTTGTTTATTGATTACCTGCAGGTGCCCTCTGTATTATCATTCTTTAATGAGGTAATCATCATCAGTTGTTTTTCTATTTAAGATTCTGGACATTTAGTGTATGAACCCTTCAAATTGGCTTAATATCGTATAATTTTTTCTTAATTTTTTTTGGTTTTCTAAAATTTAATTGCCTGCGGTCGCCAACACTCCCCTTCAATTTTTTTTTTTAGGAATTTGACTCTATTTGAATTTTTTGTATAGACTTGAATATTGTTAAGAAGCAGGTGCCCTCTGTATCATCATTCTTTAATGAGCTAATCATTGGCAATATTGTTTTTTCTGTTTAAGATTCTGGACATTTTAGTTTGAACCCTTCAATATGTGTTCTAAATTTATTTTCCTATACTGTATAATTTTTTTTACATTTTTTTTTTTTTCTAAAATGTGTTTACCTGATTTAGACTCAGCACACTCAGCACGGTTAAGACGTTATTGTTCTTTATTTCTGCCATAATATTAAACACTATACGTGGTTCAGTGGGTGTGTAAAATTCTAGGAATCCGTTTTAGTAATACCTAAAACCGCGAAATTAATGCATAAGCAGATCAAACGGAGTCGGTTTAAAATAAAAAAAAAAAATCTTCATTTTGTTTACAGGCATCTATAGTTGCCAGTATAAAATGTAGACCGTGTAATTGGATACAGTAAATAATAAATAGTAGACATCTCTTTCGAATTGACAAATTTATAGTTCTTGATCTGCAGACAGCGAGGTGGGGTAGATTTCGGCTTATCCACTACAGATGAGCGACCAATTATCGCAGTGTGGCTAAGTTGGCGAGAGCTAAGAAGTTTTTGTTAGCTGTAAAATCATTACATAGTCAAGGAAGATCGATAAAATAATATTTCTTTGTCTGTCCATTTCATTTATTCGAACATAACCATGGCTTACATGTGACTTCATACTTACTATTTAATTTTTCTAAAAATTTTGTCGTGCACAATTTATTAGTATATTTAATTTCAAAAGTAAATTTTAGTTCTAAAACCTAAATACTAACAAGGTCAGATTTGGCTGTCGCGTCTATGAATTTTAACATTATTTTCTTGTTCCCTATCAAAGTGAATTACCACGAAGAACGGCAAATTGAAACACTCTTTTTACTTCCAGTGATAACGTCATTTACGCCTAAAAAGAAACCGGTTTTAACCAATAAATTAAATCGTCGGACAACACTCCATCGCGATAGTACAAGTTACAACGAATTAAGAACGATATTGCAAAAATTAATTGCCGGAAATCATTAGTTTTTAATTGAAAATGACATTGAAGTCTGAATTTGGTTTTCAGACTTATTTGAAAGTTATAGGTAATTTAAATTTTGGGTATTTTCATATATACCGGATGTACCTGGCTGCGATCACTCAGTCAATTATCATCAAAAACATCCATCGACTTGTTATGTAAAACCACCATGGGTGGGTGTCAGAATTATTTTTGCTCAATCATTCTAAAAAGTGGATTTAACTGTTTCCGAAAATAAAAATTGAAAAATTTGCGTTGGCGCTACACTATATGAATTATAACACATAATTTAAAAAATATTTTAGTGGTTTTAAGAAATTGTCTTCAAATTATCACTTTTAAAGCGCAATGTATAAAATACGTGAGCCCGAACAGTACACCGCTCTAAGTTTGATACGTATGGGTAGGTACCTACCTTTTTTGCATAACTATTATACAATGCACTATACACCTTGGAACACCTTAGGTTGTAGGTATTTAAAACAATTATTAACATTTATATTTTAAATACATTATATACGCACCTATGTTTACACTTATTTTAAACATTTGATGAGCATAGATGGCGAGTACTATGCTGGTCACGTCGAACTTGAATGCATTAGTGAACTTTATCCAGGTCATACATTTCGTGTGTATATCTAATGATCTTAATGAATTTGTAGATTAAAATGAATAATTATTTAAGATTTAAGATTTTTAGATTTAAATGAAAATTTCTGTACAGGCTTAACTCTTTAACTACTTATTAGATCTTCTTGATTTTTTTTTAAAACGAAAGAGTATTTCATGGAGAAGGTTTATATGAATGAACATTTTAGGAAAATCTACCTGTGTATAATATTATATTGGTTGCTACTTGCTATCGGTTAATCGGGCATGATTGTTGATTTGTAATTTGTATTATTATTTAACGTGTGCAGGCTAAGTTGGTGAGAGCTAAGACGTTGTTAGCTGTAAAATCATTACATATAGTCATTGAAGATCGACATATTATTATTTCTTTGTCTGTCCATTTCATTTATTCGAACATAACCATGGCTTACATGTGACTTCATACTTACTATTTAATTTTTCTAAAAATGTTGGCGTGCGCAATTTATTAGTATATATAATTTCAAAAGTAAATATTAGTTCTAAAACTTATAGCTTATAAGGTCAGATTTTGCTAGCGAGTCTATTAATATTAACATTATTTTCTTGTTCCTGATCTAAGTGAATGACCACGAAGAGCGGCAAATTGAAACTCTTTTTTCGCCTCCAGTTGTAACGTCATCTACGCCCCTAAAAATAGATCGGTTAGAATCATTGATCGAAGAAATCTAATTGTCGGACAACACTCCGTCACGGTATTACAAAGACTATGACATAAAAACTAACGATTTCCGGGAAATAAAAAAGAAATCGTTTTCAAATTATCACTTTTAATTATTTTATATAGTGATATTATTGGTAGGTTAAGTTTCTATTTTATAATAGATCAATAGCCAATAGGTTACCTAAATCACATTTTGTTATTTAAATCCCGGTAGTCAAGTTTTTTACAAGTAGATATATAGGTCACCTTTAATAATTCATATTGTAATTTAATTAGGTACCAAAAAATATATAACTTCTCAAACACTGTGTCTAGGGGTACTGGCGGGAGAATGTATTAGAATGTCCATAAACTTGCGCACCTGCAATCTGTGTAGTTAAATTTGGCATACGATTTATCAATAGACCGTATTATAGGTAGGTACTGAGTATAATATATAAGTTTTATGGTATGAATGGTATGATACAATTCTACAAAAATTAAGACAGTGTCAAAAGGAATAAAACAATTTGTATTTCTGTATAGTTAAGCATGTAGTATAGGCTTATTGGGCACAAGTTTTATTTTATTTTTAATTTGTACCTACCTTAAATTAAATATTGATATTTATATTGTGTCATATAAGCATGGCTTGTAAGTTCAAGCCCCAAAAATTATTAAACAAGCATGCACTTATGCGCTAAAAACTGGCAAAATAATCCTTTAAAAGTTCAGAAATATGCATTCATAAGCACTCAAAATCTAAAACTAAACATTAAAAATAGGTGGATTAAAAAATGAAGACATCAAATAGCAAGAATTATCTGTTCATATTTTTAATAATTTGACATAGCAACAATTCTCATACATTGAATATAGTGAAAAAATATAAATTATTGCGCTTTTCATTAAATTTTAATTTTTCCGTATTATTTCAATAGAAAAAAATGTATGTTAGTATAATAATATCAATATAGTAATATTAAAATTAAGAGTAATATGCCCTAAAAAATATAAAAACCTATGAATACATGTGAATAAACCTATTAAACTTCACATACTTAACCATATCGTACCATCGTATAACCATTGAAATTAATTTCTATTTCATCTAGCATTAAATACACCTTAGTAAGATTGATATACAAAATGCATGAACTTACAAGCCCTGCATATGAGTTATGAATTTTAACCAAGAATCTAAACATCAACAAAAATATAGATGCAATAATAATTTATAAGCTATTTAAATATTGTAAAGTAAAGGTATACTCTGGTTAAATCTTGATGCGCAGCATATATTTCAGTACCTACCCCCTCTTTATCTCCTTAATAGAATATTTTGACTGTAAATATTTTAATTTTTGTTGTATGTGATTGATTACCATAATGTACCAACCACCCAACCCCAACCAAAAAATCCACCATGACGCCTAAGCTTCATAAAACCCCATTCACCACGCCACTGCTCTTGTTCAATGACAACTTTTTTGAGTTCTCCTCGTTTTCACTTCCTGTAAAACTAAATATCCTAGACAAAAAAAAACTGTGATTAGAAATAATATTTTTAAGAATTTATTATTAAAGAATTACTAAATAATAATTAATATTGGCAACACAAAATAACACGGGGCGCGCTGTTGGTACATGGTCGGGGGGTACCGCACCGCTCCGAGTCGGGACGTATTTCCCGCGCTATTACCTATTTTACATGGCTAAATATATGCTGCTATTTTAAAGGTTCAACTGTAGTATGTAGTGTGTAAGTATAATTTTATGTAAAATACAGGGCTTAATAGTAATGTGTAAACATGTCTTTGTCACTGTTAAAAATATTTACTTATGCGAATTGCACTTTAATTCTCGTAGTGCAATAGAAGGAGAACAAATATTAAAAAGCAAACAGATTGTATTATGTGGTAAAATTGAAATGGTAAATATGACATCAGCTATGTTTATGTGATTACAAATTTGATGTAAATAATATTAAGTACTATGAAAATATTTTGGTTTTTAGGCTAGTGTCACACAAATTAGTGCATTAATTGTTCAAACATCACATTTACAAGATATGCCCCATTCAATTTTTGGTGAACTAACGAAGCCTGAAGTGGAAATTATAAAGTTCAAATGCAGTTGCAAAGCAGGAGCTTCTGAGTGCTGTAAGCACGTTGTTGCAATACTTTTGTTTCTTAACAGGTATCTGTTTGCATTTTTATTCAAAATTTTAAACATGCATTGGAACTTAGAAGCAATAATTCAAGTTTCTTAAACAAAAAAATTACTTTCAAATGGAAAAAAAATCAATTATTTTGACATTGATTAAAAGTAAATGTTTTAAAATATTTTTAGTTTAAATGGAATTCAATATAACATTGAATATTACATGTAGTTATCAATTACCTACTATTGTTAATTTCAGAAATTCAGTTGCTGATTTGGAAATTTTTTCATCAACTGACATAACATTTCAGTGGTCAAAATTAAAGGAACCTACGTTAACTCATTATAAACCTTTACCAATTGATACATTTGACTGTTATAAAAAAAATGTTGTCGATTCAAATTCTGTTGACGATGATGCAGATACAATTAGGTGATATGTTTATTTTAATTTATAAATTAATAATTACTAAAAAAAACAAATTTTAGGTCAAGATTCATAGCTGCTGCACCAACTTCAGCAATTGCTCTTCATTCCTTGGGTCGTCATTTGCCAACTAACCAATCATCAGTGATATTGGCAGAAAACACACAGCTGTCCAGGCTGAATGTGTCATCGCATCCTTTGTCAGTGTATTTGCAAAACTACCCAGTCATGAATATGGGTGATTGTTGCAAGCATAGGCGCCAGGTTTCAAAAAACTTAATGGGTGCCTTGGTATCATTGGTATCATACTAACATAGGCATAAATACATAATTTTGAGGGAGGGGGCTTAGCCACTGGTCAAGACAAATTTCCCCGTAAAATTAAAAAAATGGAATTGTCTTTTCAGGTGGGGCTAGTTGCAATTTAACCCCCTAAAATTTTAATTTTGGCTCTCCAAATTTCGCCTATAGGTGTCATGATTCTACTACTTCACCAAAAACGTTTGCATTTTCTCATGGATTTTTTTGGTGCATACAAATATTAAATTATAATATATACCATGTTGTACACTGAAATATGCGATCATCATTGATTATAAAATATATTAATTATACAACAAAATAAATGTATACCAAATTGGGAACTTATTTATAAATAATAATAATAAGTAAAACAAAAAATAAAATAAATTTAATTTGACTGTTCAAATAAATATGCTTTGACGTACCTACCTATTATTATAATTGAATTTATAAATGAGTTAGCTCTTAGCTATCAATGTCTATGCTAAAATTGTCAAAACTTGGATATAAATACACTCTATACATTTTCAATATTCTAATGGGTGCCCGGCACCCCATAATAATTTTAATGGGTGCTTGAGCCCCCGGGCACCCATGTACCTGGCGCCTATGGTTGCAAGGTATCATTTTCTAAGTTATCAACTGATTTTTATGAAGTATTATATCGATCTCAAAAAGACAAATCTTTTTGGGACCATTGTCGGCAGTACAGAACCACAGGAAGTCGATACTATGGGCTGTATACCTTTAACAAAACTTTCAAAACAGATGAACAATGGGCTTTGAAAGCCAGTCGATATTTTTGGCCGAAACTATTCACAAATAAGTTTGTTAAATATGGTTTACAATATGAAAACATCGCCAGAGATTTGTATTCAAAAGAATTTAATACAAATATTTTAGAGTGTGGTTTAGTGATTGACGTTAACAATCCTTGGTTAGGTTATAGTCCAGATGGAGTCATCATTGATGAATATTTTTTACCCATTAAAATTATAGAAATCAAATGTCCTTTTGATGGTAAAAAACTTGGAATAAAAGATCTTTTAAATAGTTTAAAATACATTGTAAAACACCCAAATGGTTCATTGAGTTTAAAAAAACCCCATTGTTATTATGCACAAGTACAAATGGGCATTGTTTTATTAAATGTTAAGGAATGTGACTTTATAGTACACAGTAGCTATGAAAATAAAAATGCAGTGTTAAAAGTAATATACGATGAAGATTATTGTAAAAACTTGTTTGGTAGTTTAAAAGTTATTTATTTTGAAAGATTAATACATGAAGTAGGTATGTATAATTAACAATATATATTAGTTAACATTAAAATGTTCTTAATTACAAATTAAGTAGGATGTGAGTGAAACTAACATTTTAAATATTATATACAATTATTATAATATATTATATTATATTAAATTATACATATTATATTAAATGTTACATATTATTTTTTAAATTTGTCTGATGAAAATATTGGTGGGCTTATATTGCATAAACCACCTATTATTGTAATTATGTCCGAAGCTAAATGTATATGAGCCCATGGAAAGGTATGACAAAAAATATTAAAAGTTTCTATTCACTGATTAATTCGTTCTATGTGAACTCTAGCTTTAGCGATATTTTTAGACAACAAAGCATCTTCCATAGAAAATTGCTTTTGACTTTTAAGGAAAGGTGGTCTTATTATAGTTATATATTTTTTTTTTACAAATTTCATCAATCAAAAAACCTTTGTCAACCATAACAGCATCAGGCTTTTGCATTAATTCAATAAGATTGCTTTGCTCAAATATGGCTTTATCAGAAGCCCTACCACTATATGGCTTACTGATATATGTTATAAGACCACCTGGAGAAATTCCTATCAAAAATTTTAATGTAAATGTAGACTTGTAGTTACTATAGCACTTTATACAGCAAGTCAAACATTTAGGTCTTTGCAATGATATTTCTGTACAGTCTAATACAACTCGCACATCTTTAAACTATTCAAAACAATGGGGTGTATTATTTAAATTGTCTTGCCTAGAAGGCCAATAGATCAAAGATTTAAATTTATATGCCAGTTGAGGAATCAAAGAATTATAAGTTAGTCTACAACTTTCTGAAGAAAAATCATTGAATAAAATACTCAAAATTGCAAAAGATAAACCTTGCTTGAATTTAACAAATACCATAACAATGCGTTCTTTAAGACATAATGTGTGTTGTCTTTTATCTGGAAAATATGTCATATGTAAGGCTATTATCTCATTTAAAATTTCAAAAGAACAAATGCCAGTCATGGTATTCAGTTTTTTCACTGTGTCTATGAATGATAGAAATGAAGTTTTTAAATCTCCAATTGCTACTTGTATTCCTGTACTTTTAAGTTCTCTGAGAATTGTATTAGCAGTTATGTTATCTTGTACATTATACTCCAAAGTATTAACATGGTCATTTTCATTAGAATCGTCTGGCATTGTTTGCCCAACAAACTCCAAACAGCTCTCATCCCCATCTGAATTTAGCACATGCAACTAAAATGTAAAATAATTATATTTATATTTGTCATTATTAAAATGAAATGTAATGTCAATGATAAAAATTCACTCACTTCACATTCTGATTCTAGTTGGATTATTGGTGAACATTTGTTTTTAGGATATGATCTTTTCTTGGGCGAATGAAGCAATACAGAAGACTTGGGTAAATTTTGTGATGGAATTGCCACGGGTTTAAGACGTTTGCGTTTGTTATTTTGTCCTAAAAAAGTAAATTATTTTTTATACATATAATAATTATTACCAATAATAATATAAACTGCAAGTAGATAAAGTTGTTCCAACTATATTTCTATATTTTATACTAACTTAACACTGAAAGGAAAATAGTACTACATATTAAAAATATGTATAATAAGTACCTAACACATAGTATGAATACAGTGAACTTCAATATTTCATACAAACAACTACCTAATGTATAATACAGATATTTTAAAATTATTTTAAAAATGTGCTTAAGCCATACAATGTTCAACTTCCTAGGTAATTTAATAATATTCATTATTCAATTAGGTAGATTATTCATCAACTTACAAACAAAATATTAAAAAAAATAATCTATTCATTTGAACACCATAAAAATAAATAGTAACTACATGTTACTAACCTGAAGGTAAGAAGTCCTCTGAGGTAAAATGTTTTGAACAAACAACAATATGTTTTTTCAATAATGCTTCTTTCGAAAACCGTAATAAAATAGCCCACATTCTACGGCGGTCAACTAGTTCTTCTTGTCCCCATTTTTTTTTTTAGCAACACTTTTGGGTCGTTGCTTTTAGGTATAAGATGAAAACTAATATCCTCGTTAGTTGAATAGTAAGAGCAGCATCCAAATACGGAACAATAATTGTTGTTTTTTTTCTTTTGTACCTTTTATCTTAGTACTTTTTGAAGTCATTTCTGTAAATATGCATTTCATTATTAATCCATAGTCCATACATACAGTTTACTTCAAATAAGAATTAATATTTAATATTATTATGAATTAGTAGGTACTTACTTAAAGATTGATTAATTAAACAACACAATAAAGTTAATTATTTAATATTTAATTTAGCTGAATTAGCTTAATTAACAACTCTAGAAAAATTAAAAACGAAAACCTTTTCAATGGACATTGCAATGTAAACACAACATCTATCCCAAATCGGCTAGTTGAGAATTATGCTACCAGAGCGCGTATCGTTGACTTGTTTTGCCAATAGTACAAACTTTTTACGAACAAGTCTATTTTGTTCCCCGTGACTAGTTTCTGTGTTTTTAGTGGGATAATAATTACCATCATGGTTAGTGTAAATAGCTGCTGATGGAGAAATATTGTTTAATGCATTTAAGTCATTAGCCACAATATCATAATTAGTGTCCTCAACTAAACTAAAAAAAAAAAAATATTTATAGTATTACAAAATATATTATCATTATTATATCTAAATTGTAATTAAAATAATAAATAAAAACAATTGCAAAATATTTATCTAAAGTACATACTTTAACAAATATGTAGTGGGACTGACAACAATATTTTTCTGGTTTTCATGATGGTTAAAAATTGTAACACTAGTAGGTGAAAATGGAGGATAGCAATAATTGAGTAGATCCTCAATACTTTCCCTATTTTCAAATACATAATCATCATTAGTACTGTAAAATATACCATTTAATTATTACCAATAGTGTATGTATATTGTATACATATTGAACCAAATAAATGTATGTAAATTAACATGACATAACAAAAAATTAAATAAAACTATTACATAATGTTATTGTTAAATAAGCAACACCACTTACTTTATTAAGATTGATATACTTTTGGTATCAAAATTATTTTCATTTCCAATAAATAAAACATCACTATTACAATTTGATATCTCAACAGGATATGTAGAAATACATTCAACGGATGACTTAGTGATATCTTCATTTTCAAATAAATATTTATAGTCGTAATTTCTAAAAAAATAATAATTAGTTTATTAAAAAAACATGGAAACTAGTCAATTACTAACAAAAAGTCGTATACAATTATGTTACATTAAAATTATTTAATACAAAATTAAAAATTAACTATCAAAAAAATAAACTTAAATTAGTTCAAGTTATTTTTTGATTAAAGGGAGGGGAAGAAATACAAAGCCAGTCAGAACTCAGAGTACTGTAAAACAGTGGTATATGAAATTTTAATACCTTGACGTGAGCTTTTGAAATATAATGAACTAGAACAGTATTGATTAATTGATTGAAATTTGATGTTTAACCTTAAATCAATTTTATAATTTATTTACCAACAATCAAAGTAATAATTCTATAATACAGACAACTTGAATAACCATCACAAGAAATGGTCCCAATACTTGAAAAAATAAAGATATAATGGGTGCAGATACAGTGGAGCCGAAGTTTTTAAAATGTGGTCGGGCAATTTTAAAACTTCCCGGCCTCAATATCTTAATTATTTAATATAGAGGTACCCTAATATAAATTTATTCATAATCACGGTTTAAATTTACTCATGCTTATAATAAAGTTATGATGTAAATTAAATATGGCCGGCCGGCCACATTTTTGAAAAAAGAAGTTGGGCCACGGCCTGACGTCAGCATGGACTTCGGCACCACTGTGCAGATATTATATCTGCATCCTTCACACAAGTGAATATATGACAACATTGTACTATATAAGATAATATGATAAAAAAACGGTTTACTTACTTCATAAAATCTGTCGTACATATATTATCAGAATTATTCTGAACACCTTTATTTAGTATAATAACATTTTCATCACTTATACCACTGCTAGAAATCTCGTTCTTTTGCTCTTCATCATGTTGTACCTCAAAAAAACTACAAAAAAATTAAATTAATTAATAAAATACTATAATAAGTAAACAATTATAAACATATTATGAAATATAGCTTATGGTACCCACCTTTGCGACCAAGAAAGTGTGTCTGGATGGTATACTAACTTGTGTTTATTTACATGATGCAACCATTGTCTTACTTTAGAGTTTGACTCTATTCAGTCAGGCTGCATGCCATAGGGACGTAATGACAAAGAAGACGAATCCTTTGGTAAATTACTTGTACTGCTTTTAACAGTATCTAATGTATTATATTTTTTAGATAAATTGATCAACTTCGCTGACTGGTTTCTTCTATGCCGGGCCTCCATACCAATTAACCAAAAAAATAGTCCTTGAACAACAATAAAACGAACGACGTAACATTAAGCAATGATATATTGACTTGGATATATTAGATTAATAGAAAATGTATCAATATTAAATATAATCATTACATACTTGACTAAGACTGTGGAAGGTGGAAGTATTCTTGTAAATATATTTTTAATTACAGACTGTCTAAATTACTGAAGTAATAACCAGTAACCACGCTATTACGCTTATAAGTAATACTAATATCACAGAACAATATCTAAAGTAATAAGTAGGTAATGTAATATCACATTGACAGTTGACACATTATCACATCAACAAAACATTAAAACAAAATAATATTCAAATTTATTACGTCTATAAATACCATAGAGTATACTCTATGATAAATACCGTGCTTATCACTAAGATAGTAATAATTGTTATCAAATGAATAACAACAAAATAATTTTATTTTATTGTTCGCCGAGTGCCGACTTTAATTGAATCATTCGATTAGGTATTTCAGTATTTGATATTTGTACGGAAATAGTAAATACAGACTACTACTATACATTCGTGATTCGTACAG